AGCATTACTTCCTCACTGAATGAACACTTACCTCTAGGCAGTTTTCTTTGCTTGTACCATGCGCCTCATGTCATAGTTGAGTGTTTACATTGCTTAAAAAATCGGACGTCAAGGCAGAATACAAAATACCATCCGTATCACCTTGACGTCCGTCGTTCCATAACTGAGCGTTTCTTAAGGCAATTTCCGCGCACCACCACTATGTGGAACCAGCTGCCCACTGAAGTATTTCCGAACCAATTCGACTTAGGGTCCTTCAATAAAAGAGCGTACCAATTCTTAAATGGCTGGAAACGCACTTGCGAGCCCTCTGAGAATGTGAGTGTCCATGGGCGGCTGTATCACTACATCAGATGAGGCTCCGGCCCGTAAGTTACATAAAATATAACACGCGTTGAACACGGTAGCGGTCATGGTGATGCGTCAGTTTATCCAATTACAACACACAACCTAAAGTTTCGTATGTGACTTTACATTTGGTCCGGTTTCCTAAATATTGTCATTTATAAATTCCTAACAATACTTTTCAAACTTTGTTTACGAGGCTGATAAGACAGTATTTCGTAATAGGCCTTAAATACCGAGGAACTTTGCATAATCGATTCGTGACGTCCTTGAGGCATATTGAATTTTAGATTCCGCGTCGAATTTCTTTGCCTAAATATATCGGCACGTATCTTGGTAGGAATTTTATGGGGAAAGTTCGCGCAAGAACTTGTAACCAAATACTGAATATCGTGAATTGTAAGAATGTGTGGTATTCTTCTTTATTTACCTTTAACTAGTAATTATTGTAGCAATCTTGCTTTAGTTTCTTCAGCTGTAAATCATATCTACAACTTGTGATATTAAAAGTATGGGTTAGGGTATTCTAACCAATGTGTTTTCCATATATCTGGAGAAGTTCTATTGTTTAAAATATTACCATAAAATCAAATGTCACTTCAACCGTTTGTTTGCCTTTAGATTTTTGTAACTTGAGCCTCATGTGTCTGACAAACGCCATCGATTTTTGGGCGGTTTCCTTATTATGTTATCCTTCACAGTGCGAGCTATTTATTGCAAACGTAGAAAAAAAAGTATTACTTGTTTAGAACAAAGGTAGCTAATAGACTACAAGCCCATGGAAAAAAATTTACCTGTAAAATGAACCAACGTGATTAACGCTTAGGAGGCTGTTACTATATCCAAAAATAATGCCGGCTTTTCTGAGCGGTACAGGTGAGTACGTGAGTGAATGGAATTTCTCAGGTACAAATGAGGAATTACGACTAATTATTAATGTACGGCTTTGTTATAGTGTATAAATGATTAAAAATAAATGTCGAAAAACCTAGTGCCGTACTAAAGTGGTGGTGCCGGAAGTCAGTGCAAATTTTTAATTCGACGATAATTGCAGAAGCAATATAGCGTTATTCACGTTGGTTCATTTCACTGGTAATTTTTTTGCATGGGCTTGTAGTCTATAATGGCATTGTAAAAAATCCTAGGTTGTAGGCCAAACAACTCTCTTAAAACATTGTCTTAGATAGCTAGATTACATCAGAATGACACCAGATACATATCAACACCCGTTTTTTATGTAACTCTAGTGATTTATTATCACGTTTTTCAGACCTAAATCCATTAATTTTTATATTTAATGACGCCCATCAACTACAGAATTTATAATAATAATAATATAGCCTTTAAATTCCGAAACTCTGTCATTTTATATATCTGAACTTTAATATATTTTCACTCCAGTATATCTCGGGAGTTCGGTGTGGCCTCTTGGGCAAAAGGCCTCCTCTAACCCTGTCCACTGTTTTCTATCTTTTGCGACTCTTTTTAGTGATTCAGAGTTCTTAAAGTCCTAATATTGAGGGATCTATATAATATTATATATATATATATATATATAAAAATTATTTTTTTGTTAGAGGGTGGTGGTCTGATCTTCCCGCGGCGACCAACCGTGGTGGGAAGGCTTCTTGATTAGGTTGTTTTAGAATGTGTTTCTTCCATATTTGTTTTGTTTTCCGGTTTTATTGTGTTGTTTTTGTTTTATAGGTTGCTCGCGGTTGTTAGTTTTTTTGAAATGTCGGAGGTCGAAAACGATCTATCTCTTCCTAATGTAGTATTTGGTAATATTTTTTTTGTCCTGCATGTTAGTTTTAGTCGATTTTTTCAAACTTGTTAGATGTTTCTGTTTTTCTGTGTAGACAAGTTGGGAGATACGGTTTTATCTCTCTTCCTTTTTTCGGCTGTTATCCTGCAGTTTTTATTCACCAATTGGTCTCCTCTCAAAAAGATTTTTTCCCATTTTCCATTCTTCCTCTTTTTGGCTGTAGTTGTTTTCTAGTTTCTAGTACCTTCTTGGTGGGGTTCTCTTTTTCAAATGTGCCTTTTAATACAAAGTTTTCGTATCTTATAAAGCAGTATAGCCTTTCTCCTTTTCTTTCTGTAACTGATTGGAGTTCCTTCCGCCTGTTAAGGACTTCAATCGGATAATCCTCCTTAATGTAGTACTGATATTTTCTAGCAGGATTTTTTCAGAATATGTAACTTGTAACTATGTGTTAACGTTATAACAACCGGTCTTATGTTATCACCTTTCTTTCCCAACCTTCTGACAAGTTCAATGTTATTTTTGTCACATTGAAATTCAAAGAACTTTATTATATTTACTATAATATTCTCTAATTCAAAATAAGTATTCTCACTCTCTTCTACTCCGAACATGACTAGGTTCTTTCGTCGTTAATGCCTTTATAAGTTATTTAATTTGACTTTTTCTTCAACGTTCTAATCTTTCAATTCAAAGTTTGCAAATTTCTCGTGAATTTTAATTAATGTTTTTTAAATCCTCTTTCATTCCAACATTTTTTTTTATTTGCTGTAAGTTCAGCAACATTTGATATTTCTTCCATAGTTTCGTGCCCTCTATCCGAGAAATAGAATTTTTCAACGAAGTTAAAATTATTATTGATAAATTTATATTTTCCTAATTCTAGAAATTTTACTAGATGGGGGCGTTTTGACGTATTTGTCTTACAAATTTTTGCAGGAGCAAATAAAATCCATAAATAGTGTAAGTCAGATTATTCGAACTTGGACCGCTTTTCACTTAGTCGATACCCTTATATAATGGTATCTGAGATTATATGAACTGAACCAATGTTTGGTATAGTAGATAATTTTGTAACCAGTTCATATGGATGACTAATGTTGTTTAATATTTGTTTCTTTTGCACTAAGATTTTTCAGAAGACACTTTAGTCACTTTTAGCACTAGACGTCACAACCTCACAATAAGCAAAGTGTCATGAATCCGTTTGATTGTTGAAAGGGACGTCAGTTGAAGCCTCGTTAAAACACTTTAAAATCCTGATGTGTTTCGTTCTCTTGAGCATGACTAACATTTATCTATTACTTTGTAGTATATTAGACGTTTTAACACTTATTAAAGTCGCATTGATCACAAGTAGTATTTTTTTAAAAGAAAGACAGCACGGAGCCTATGTAGGTAGTTGCGCCGCGAGCAACCGTCACGCGAGTCAATTTAAATATCCCTTAACTACAGAATTTAAGTGACTTAAATAATTTTGATTCCTATTTAATAGTTTTATGAATAGTCGTTGTTTTCCATCATAAAACAATGTTTTAATGGAAATCGAGCATGGACTCAACAACTTGCCTTAAATTAATCAATTAAGTACGTCAAACTATGTACTGCAACTGTTTTTATAAGTTACAAGTATTTTGTGCATGAGTTTATTTTACCTATTTATGCGTGAAATTAATAAATTGCAGATTAGGAGACCTCGTGTTTCCGCTCTCTGTATATAAACTATCTGGGGATGATAAATGTTCTAACTTTTCAGCTTCTAAGTTTGTAATCATCAGAATAAGGCGGAAAGTACGGAAAAATATTAAATTATATACAATCATTGATGTATTATATGTAGGTGTAACAAAAACTCGCTAATATAAAAATATAATCTACATTCCTACTTAAATATGTATAAACTAAATATGAAAATAAAGAGCTTTCTATATTTGATAACCTCGTTTTCTCTGCCCACATAGAATCCGTAATTATGAATATTTTATGCAAATATCTCATATTGGGTAAGATATGACCACATATGACCCAGCTTCAAAGACCCTAATGTAATATTTTAAACCCCACATCGAGGCATAAAGTACACCCGCGTCCTTTAAGGCTTTTAAAAGGGTTCTTCTTGTTAATAGATACCTATATGCTTATTAATAATTGCTTCTGCAGTTCGTCGAACAACAGCTTATCAACCTGTTCTTTGCTGAAACGAAAATAGACCCCTCTCTTCCCCCTCTTATTGTGAAACAATAGTTTGATTATGAATCATAGTAAGGGCACTTATTTATACTTAGTTATTTTTTTTTATTTTTACCTTTTTTTCTTCTTTCTTTCCTTTTCTTACCCTGTTGGTAACTAACGGGTACTAACTATAATTGACGTATCTCCTTGAAATCCCGATGATATAAGAACTATTTTCGTTGAAAATATAGAGGATATTTAGTTTTAACCTTAGGGTTTCAATATGAGCTATATCATTCATTAAATTATATATTAGTATGTGATATTGTAATATATTGGTTCAAATATAGAGGATAACAAAAACAATTTATAAAACATAATTATATTTATTTAAAGTACCAATAAAAAAAATACATTGTAACAGATTACACAAACAAATTCTAGTTAAAGTAAAGAACAATACAATAACATTTATATTTGCTTAGAAGTTACAGTTAACACAGCTAAACAGGTATAACGTGAGACTAATTACGATTTTTTAAACTGATTCAAATCTACGGTTATTGTTTCATGAAATCAAAACCACAGTTACAATATTTTGATGTTTTTATTCATTTTAAACATTTAAAAAAGGCAAAAAACTATAAGATAATAATTTGATTGATTTATTTGATTAAAATTTACAAAACATCTCAGTAATGTCATATACCCGAGTTACTTAATTTAAAAGATTACCTTGAAAGTCAGAAATACTAGTATCCATAGAATGCCTCATTTGCAATCTGGATTCTGAATGCATATTCCCACTTTTAAGTTTATAAATTAAGTAGGCCCCTAGAACTATTAACGCACCAACTAAAATTGTAACTGAAATGCCTACAAAGACTGACAATCCAGATATGTTTGATTGAGATTCAGCCTCTTGAACCTTCGTTGTAGAGTTGGTGTAATCCGCATCTCCACATTTTATACCATGGACGTTATCTTCGTGATAGATTTTGTCAACAGATGTTACCTGTACAATCCGGATGGTATCCAAAGCTTTTTGCATATTGGAATCAATTAAGTTTCTAATACTGCGAACAATTTCTTTACATTCAATTGGATTTCCCCCAATGCTCACTGTATCGAGGGCAGGTGATATACTTATTAACTGTTCTATATTGAATGATTTGAGTTGATTATAGTCAATTACTAAACGTTTCAATGCAATACATTCATGAAATACATGAACGTCTATTTCAGTTATTGCATTTCTTGATAAATCTAGTACTTCAACTGCGTTTAAGCCCCTAAACGTCCCGAATCTGAGATTTTTTAATGAATTAGATGACACATTTAAGAGTTTAAGAACTTTTAACTTTTGGAATGTGCCTGGAAGTATTGATGTTATGTTATTATTGCTAATATCTAAAGACTGTAACAAATCTAAGTTTTGCAAAAATGTAATGTTTATAGTACTGATACAATTGTGACTTATGTCCAAACTGGTTAAATTTTTGAAATAACTAATATTTAAAGAATAAATTTGATTGTGTGATAAACTGAGGTCTGAAAGTTCTTTTAATGTATTGATGTATGGGTTATTAAAAGAGTTCAATGAATTGTGCGATAAATGTAGAACACGTAGACTATGAAACGTTCTAAATATAGGGAATGATATGTTATCAATTTCATTATTAGATATATCTAAATATACGATCTCAGTCAAGTTTGCACTGGGAACAACTTTAAGTTTATTATTATTCAAATACAATGCCTTTGTACCTCCCAATGATGAAATGTTTAATTCAAATTTTGATAATTGATTATATGAGATATCCAAGTTTATCATATTCGCAGTTGTTTTAAAATTATCTGGGTCTATATCTTCAATTTGATTATGTGACACGTTCAGTCTAACTAGAACAGGCAAATTAATAAATGCTTGCTTTTCTATTTTTGTAATATTAAAATTATTTAAATCCAGAAATCGTAAGAGTTTTGCTGGACTAAATACGTCTTTTTTTATAGGTCCATTTAGCTTATTACCAGCGAGATAAAGGTATTGTAGGCTTTTTAATGGCAATGATAAAGGTTCAATGCTGACAATATTATTCATTGATAAATCTAAAGTTTTCAAATACATGTGGTTTGAAAATAGTCCCTGTTCAACTATTGTTAGATTATTATAATTCAAAAATAGAATAGTAACATTTGGTAACGAATTCCTAAGAAAACTTATATCAGATATGTTATTATGTGATAGATCCAAATTATATATAATGTTTGAAGATGAAAAGGTGGTATTATGGACAGAGTTTATTTGATTGCTACTTAAATTCAGATATAGCAAGTTTTTCATACCAGAAAAGGCATTTTCCGTTAAATCATTAAACCTTTGTCCGGATAAATCTAAAAATGTAATGTTTTCTAATCCCTTCAAAGTATTTTCAGTTATTTTCGCAGTTATATTGTTATTTTGAAGATTAATGAATGCGATTGAACTGTGCTTGAAAATGCCGTCCTGTATTTTTGTTATATTATTATTTTCAAAATTTACGTAACTCAAATTGTGATTATTTATAAACATCACAATTTCTAACTCAGAGTTTATAATATTGTTTTGAAAATCAACTGATAACAGATTAAAAGCCTGATTAAAACAATTTGATTCCAGTGTTTCAATAAGATTATTCGACATATTCAGTCTTTCTAGAGCTGTGAGCCTATTTAATTCATAATCAGAAATTGATTTAATATAATTGAAAGACAAATCCAAATCTTGCAACAATTTGAGATTTACCAATGTCATATTAATCGAAACTAACTTATTATGCTTTAAATTGAGACTAACCAAGCTATTCAAACTACCAAACTCATTATCTTCAATAAAAATAATATTATTATAATTTAAATACAATTCCATTAGATTAGACAAGTACTTAAATGCATTTGTTGTAATATTAGAAATTCTATTATACGACAAATCAACAACAATCAATGAAGATATTCGATTCTCAGCTGCCATCAAAGAACCACTCGGTAATGTTTGAATAAAATTTCTCGAAAGATTTAAATTTTTTAAAGAAAGTAGATTTTTGAACGCGTAGTTTTTAACGTGCTGAATACGATTATTGGAAAAATCGGCGATTTCTGCTTTAGTGAAATATCTTATTGACGATTCTTCTATTTGCGCCCATGTATTGTCTACAGCTTGTATTTTTCTGACACGCGAGTCGAAATTTGTTGCGCCAAAAAATCCAGCAGTCAAGTACTCGAGGTAAGAGTTTTTAATTATAAAAGTGACGTAGGGATCAAATGAGCACGATGGGTTAGGTGCAGAACCAGCATATTGCTCACAAATTATTGTATAGCGGCAGTCTACACGCGTATCTTCATCTATATAGCAATTGTTTGTTGCTAAGGACAAGTGCCAAAATGCTGCCATGTCTGAAAAAAAAATCTAGTAACAGAATCGTGAAGTTACAATTTAACTGAATTAGGTCTTGTTATTTATTCACTTAACATAATGTCAAGCTTTCTCGATGTTTTTACAGAAATTTCATGTCATCTATTTAAATCTTTAAATATTGTGCTATAATCGCAAGATTAGAATAATAAATATAAAAATAGGAATATACTTTAATTGTTTCTGAAATGAATATAGAAAAATTGCAATCACCATCCCTAGCCGGCTAGTCACCGTGGGGCCCAGCGACAGCGAGAATATGGCAACTACATCCTAAACAAATAACAAGTTTTGAGGTTATCAACAACATCGCATTTCCATCCATACATAGACAACTTCGATGTACTCTCACCTTAACAACAACAAAGTCATCACAACAGACAAAGGCAAAATGTTTAAAATGAACTAACCAAAATATATAAGGAAACTAAAAAACCGCTAACGGAAGACATAGAACACAATCCTCATATATAATAAAATATAAATGTACAAAAAAGCCATGACAAGACAAGATGTTATCAAACCACAAAATTTTATCAAGATTTCTATGAAAGAAATTACAAGGATTTGATCCTAAAAACAAAGGCAAAATGTTTAAAATTAACTAACCAAAATATATAAGGAAACTAAAAAATCGATAAAGGAATACATATACTATAAGTTATAAAAAGAACCTCCATATAAAATAAAATATAAATGTACAAAAAAGCCAAAACAAGACAAGATGTTATCAAACCACAAAATTTTATCAAGATTTATATGAAAGAAATGACAAGGATTTGATTCTTGTCGTTTCTTTTATATCGCAAATCAAAAGCTTCATCAATGTGACAGAAATAAAAATAGTTCAACCAATTGATAAGATAGAAGTTTACATAAGAAAGTTAAAAAGCGAAAAGAGCCCTAATTAGGGCACCGGTTCTATTACGGTATCTGTTCAACTGGGTACTAACTGGGACAGAATAGGCACCATCACAATGATGAATGTACGACACCGAGGTGATCTCCAAAAATTACGAACCTATACATAAAGGAAAAAACAGGCCTAATAGCCTGTTAGCAAGAATAATTATTTTTTTTCGATAAAAAATTTAATTCAATAAACACGGATGACGCAACAACAATTCTTGATATTCGTCTGCATTAAATGCATTAAAAGTGAATGTAAGGTAACGCTTAATAAAAGGGAAGATCGAATAAAAAATGAAAGAGGGATACGAACGGCGCCCCTTTATTGCATAGACTTTCCATGGTCGTTCTCTATATGATCATTTTCAGCAATTTAGATTTTTACAAAAAATGCATTAATATTAACGATCTAGGATCGTTTCGATCTTAAGTTTGCGGATGACATTACTATTATGGCAGATACTCATATAGATTCTAAAAGAATTAGAAGCAATAGTTTAGATCCTAGATGGGGCGAGTTCTAATTTTGTTTTAGACTGCAACGAAGACAAAGGAGGAGAATTTTAACCAAAAGGTATGTTGCAAGACACGAAACAGTGAAAATAATAGTAACTAACCAAGACTAAGTGTGCAACAAAATCAATTTAATATGTTAATATTATTATGAATAGTATCTGCTAATATATAAAATCTATAAAAAAAAAAATAAATTGTTTAATCGCAAAATAAAGCTATCGATTTCAAGAACATATTGAACATAACTTACATAGCAGTAAATTCATAGTTACAAAACTATGCGCCATTATAAAACTTCACTTTATCAATATTATAACTATTGTCTTAACTCTCTGACAAACACTGATAAACTAATTAATTTAATTATATATTAAATGTATTACTCATACTTCAATCGATAAAATTATTTTTGAAAATGGGCAAAACCCAGTTTTAAAACTTCCGACTTGCGCTGGTTTGTGTATAAATAAATACATTTTGCATTCCTATTCTCTTAATAACTAAAGAGAATATAGAAATATAGGGAGTGATTTACATTTTTTATTTCACTTTAAGTGATCAATTCAATTTCAAAAATTCTTTATTTCGTTATTTATAGTGATATATATCCAATGTATAAAAAAAAAACTAAACTCGTTTTTAAACCTGTTTTGCTTTTTTAAAAACTTATAAAATAGTATAGCGCCTGGGGGTTTTCACCTCGGATTAGAGTTACAGTGAAGTATACATTGCAATGTTTACCCAAAATTTTTTGTGCACTCCATTGTTATAATTAAAAAAAAAAATTATTATGAAAAATTAATGTTTGACCATATATTTTCACTTTAAACAGTATTTTATTTTATTTATATGTTAAATCTTACCTGAGTAGACATATAGGAACATTTTTCAAAGATACCTGTGTATAAAAATAGCAGTAGGGATCTCGAACAGCAGGAGAGCGGAGCGACAGCTGCTATGTACAATGGAATTTCTCGGCCAGTTTAGTTGCAAGTAACACGTGTTCTGTGAATATTGTGCTTCTATAACAGTGAAAATTTGTTTTTTTTTGTGAAAAATTCTTGTATATTTTTGTACTGGAAGGTGTATTGATGACGACGTTTTTATATTGAACGTTTGGGTAAACATTGCAATTTATAGTTTAAAAAACAATATCCCACATCGATCATATTAATTCATTCACTGTAACTCTAATCCGAGGTTTTACGGTTTTAAATGCTCCGGGCACTCTACTAAAACAGATAAAACTAAAGTTGTAATGTTTCGAAATGTTAACTAAATTTAACTATGAGGTAAACTACCTGGGAACTATGGAATCTTTAGATTAGATTTGAATTTTTTACATACATACTTTAAGTGATTGTCATATGTTTAAACTAATATAAAATCAAAAGTTAATTAATTAATTAAATAATAAAGAAAATAAAATTTGAATACTCATTATGACTCTTTAGAGGTAAAGCTAAAGTCCATTTATAAATATAACTAAAAATATATTACTACGAGTAAAAACAATACAAACATTAAAAAGTGAAACGAATATGATTCCTAACAAAAAAGTTTAAGTTTTATTTATTGAATTCCATACCATTTGAATTCCAAATTTTGAGTAACAACTGCTCTAACAACTTCCCTGTTCTATACTATTTACACAGGATACCATTATCTGAGTGTCCAAGCGATAATAGTATTGGAACAATGGACAAGAGAACAGTGGATATTCCACTTTTGTTTGATATCTCGTATCAGCGTGACTCGGTAATACAAAAAAATATTGTCAGCGATCATATGTGTATGTATTAATAACATATCTTTAAAAACGAACGAAAAACTAAATCAATCTTCTACAACACATCTTGAAATTTTAATATATAATTTAATTCTATTGAGCTAAAATGGCGAAATATTTTTTATGCTATGAAAGTTTTTGTTACAAGTTATGATTGATATATAATTGAAATACGAAGATACCATGTAACAAATACAACTTATATAAAAAAATGACTTTTGTGTCTAAATTATTATTATATTTAAATAATATGGCTTTGTTTTTTATAATAGTAAAACGATAAAGAAATATGTCGATCCCATACCATTTATTATGGCTCGGTTCTCATCAAAAATTTAAATGAACGGCCAAATTACTCTCCATAGAAAATCGACTAAAACACGTTGCAGGCTCAACAGCAAATAAGTCCTTTTGAAAAAAAGCGAAAAGCGCTTTCCACGATAGCGTCTAACGAACCAGTTTGTTAGTGAAAACAACGACGATCCATTACGCTTGGATAAAGCTCAGTTTAAGCTTTGAAGCTTAAATATTAACTATTGAATTTCTAAAAACCCTGTAACAATAGAAACTTTTTGTGTTACAAATTTACACTTCTAATATAATTTAAGGCTTCACACGACACTTTTAAGAGATAATACTTTCACCACGGAATAGTGAGATATTTTAAAAGAACCAAATGACCAATATTTTTTAGATTAAGTTTCAAGGCTCCGGAATTATGCCGGCTGGCCCGTATCCACTCCTTCCCTTACCCTTCTCGCAAGTGTGAACCTGAATTAGCCAAAGATCTCTAACATCAGCGATGGTTGCGAAACACGGACTGCAGACAGTCCAAAATGGCTCTCCAGCAGTTAACCCGCTGGTGGCAAAGCAATTTCTATGCGTCAACAGATTCCACAAACCATATACATCAAGCTTAAAAATATACCAACCAACCCTATTATTATGTCCCTTATAGCATACAATTTTACCGAACATTTATCATTATTAAAACATTGGCTGAACATCACATCGCAATTCGCAACTGAAAGTTACTGTTTAGATTTAAAGCATTAAAAAAACATCATTCATTCAGACATGTTTCAAGATAATTTCGCCAGCGCTGAACTGATAAAAACGAAGTTTGTATAAGTTCTCAAAATATATGTGTATTTTGGGTACTTTCCTCGAACGAGTCTATGGGGGAAAATTGCTTGAATTTACGCAATGTACTAAATTTATGCGTTACGTATGGACGTGGGAACCATTACATGACCGCTTAATATGGGATGTAAACAAAATATATATGCATACAGTTATTTTTGTATTAAACAGCATACTTATGTTAAAATGACCGGCAACGCACTCGCGAGATCTCCAAGGGCGGCGGTATCACTTAGCATCATCCTCCTGCCCGTTTTTATTAAAAAATTGAATAAAAAGCCCTGCGCACCCTAGTATACTAGTATACTAGAACCTCTACGGTATAGATTTATATTACCTCAATAAAGATAGACGCCATGACAGAATCGAAGTGGAAAAAATTTCAACCCTTTGACACAAATTATATAATAAAATTAATAAAAAAAACTTACCAGAACACATTTATGAGCCTAAAATATAAAATACGTTATTATACTATAATAGTACAACAAAAGGACTTATAAAAGCAGTCTGTCCGGGCTTCATACAAAAGTATGGTTTATCATATATAGTATGATGTCTTTGTTCATCAGGTATAATGTAGAATCTAATAGTGAAAGAATTATTCAAAGCCTATTCAATACAAACAATCAAATCTTTCCTCTTTTAATATTAGTGAATTAAGTTCATTTTTTTTTAAATTGTACATAGTGTATATTTGAATGTTATGATTAGGTTTTAATAAGCGTTTAATTAATTCGTCATTATATCTTCTGTAGTTTTATAAACTTATTTTTTAATTATATTAACTAAATTCTAAAAACAAATGTATCTGCTTAACACGATGCTAGATTCGGAATCTGTTATTATAATCGCAGAAACTAAATACCTCAATAACTATTCAACAAAGCTTTTAACCCCAACCTGAGTAATTTAAACAGCATATTTGAAAAGTTGCGATAAAATACTACTATTCTCATTTCTAGGCACTAAACTGACCTAGAAACGTAATTGTGAACGTTTTCTCGAAAGATATCTGAAGTGACGGTAACATTAGCCATTGTGTGGGATATCTATCGCCCACGCAATCCAATATACCAGCAATAGATCTAGGAATTCTAGAATTTATAACTTATCTGAAGCCAGCGGGAATATGGTACCATTTTCACATTTTATATATCTGACGTTTACGTACATTTCTGTATGTTACGTAAAATCATTTCTCATTTTCAAAATATAATCTAGACATGAAGACTTTATTAATACTTAAAGATATACGGAGATAATGTGGTCGTCTAATTATATATTACGGAGCAATGGCGCTGGTGTCAACTGTCATTGTCATTATATGTCACAGAGCTCAGAAATAAACAACGTCAAAGTCTAATCAGTTTATAACCTCTAATACTTATCCACTGTTCAAATTGCCAGTATTACTAGATCTACAAATTAACGACTATTTGATAGTCTATAATAATAATAATTTCATAGTCATTATTATCAAAAGTAATTTATTATGTCGAAGAAACGGCATCGCTGTCAGCTGCCATTGTCATTATGTCACAGAGTTCATAAATTAACAACATCAAAGTCAAATTAATTCAAAACTGTTATTGCCTGTGGTTTATTCGATTAGCCAATATTAATAGATGAATAAATTAACGACTATTTTAAAGTCCATAGTAATAGTGATTATTATTAAAACTTATTATGTCGGAACAATGGCGTTAGTGTCAGCTGCAATTGTAATTTAAATTCAATAACATCAAAGTCAAATTTGTTCAGAACCGGTTAATACAGTTGTTTATTAGATTTGTCAATGTGGCTAGATCTATAAATGGACAACTATTCAATGGTCGATAATAATAGTGATTCCATAGTCATTATTATTCTTAGTATAACTTTAAACTTTTTAAGCTTAAAGTCAATAAATATTTTTAAGTTTATCACCTGGTGCGGGGCTCAGTTTCAGCTCAGAACTAAGCAGAAACCTTTAAAAAGTAGACTGTCGAAATTAAACGTCTGATGCCACCAAATTCCCATAACATAGTAAAAACAAAAATGGAAAAAAAGTTTGCTGGTAAGGAGGCTGGTATGTGTAAACGGCACTTTAGGACACTACTAAAAGGGACACGAGTGTATTGCCGGCCTTTTAATAGGTTTCGTTAAGAGATAAATGCTTTTTACTACTAATTAAGTATTAAAGAATTATTATTTTAGATGTACGTAACGTAGCAGTTCAGTGGGCGATTCTCCTCTTGTATAGGGGCGATCCCAGTCAATCTATACGTATACTAATGGATTTTTCTATGCGTTCAATTACGTGAACGAAAACTAATAGGAAAACTTCTGTCTTAGACCTGAAGTTTACGAAGT